AATTGAAGCAAAAACTGGTTCCAGTTTCCTGCTAGAAACAGAACTACAGGAGATAAACTAAACTCTTTTTAATCTTTATGGCCTACAAGAATGCAAAGAAATTAAGATTAAATTCATATATAAAGAGCAGTGGTTTTGCAATATTAGAATTCCTTTAATATAATGGGTGAAGTAATTCAGAAAAAAAAAACATGAATACTTTAACTATATCTAAATGATGATCAGGGAGCTCTGGTAGCATAGTGCACTTGAGGCACTTGACTGCTAACCAGGAGGCTGGCGGTTCAAACCCACCAGCCACTCCTCGGAAGGAAGATGGGGCAATCTACTTCTGTGGTGATACTGCCTCAGAAACTCAAGGAGAGGTCGCTATGTGTTGGGTCCAACTCGACGGCACATAACAACAACAACAAATGGTGATCTTTTTTTATCACTTTAAAATATCCAAGTTACTCTTTTAAAAGTATAATACACTTTAAATTTCTAAGGTTGATATGTTCAATAAAGTAAAATTGAAAAAACATTCACTTACCTTGGAGAAATTGTCACTACATCCCCTGTTTGGGTGAGTGAGAAGTCATCAACATCTCTCCCAATAATTGCAGCATTATATACTAAAGTTTTTGTGCTTGGATTTTTCACTAAAATCTATGGAAGAGGGTATAAAATGAGACCATAAACATAAAATTATATAAATATAACCATGCTTATTTTTTTTTTTCTCAAAGATAGTTTCCAGCAAGGAGATGGCAGATAAAAAAAAGCACATGACTATCAAAGGTTTGAAGAACAAAATTAGCAACTTTGATTTTGATTTTATTCTTCTTGCAAATGGAAAGCACTGGAGGATTTTTAACAGACAATTTATATAATCTGATTTATGAAAAGGATATTACACTGGCTGTTCTGTGAAGAAAGTACTGTATGGAGTGTAAGTTTAAAAACAAAGGTCTAGGCTGGAGGTGATGTTGTCAGGTCGAGAAGAAGTTGCTGTGCTAGGGATTGGCTGTCTTATCCCTTGCCCCTTCCATCCTGAGCCAGACACGTACTACAGAGTATTAGAGAATGGGCTACTTCATTTTTAGTGAGAGTATTTCTTGAAAAATTTGATAGTACAGGTGTTTATGTAGACTATGGGAGCTCTGGTGGCATAGTGCCTAAGGCCTTGACTGCTAACCAGAAGGCTAGCGGTTCAAACCCACCAGCCACTCCTCGAAAGAAAGGTTGGGCAATCTACTTCCATAGTGATACTGACTCAGAAACCCAAGGAGGGGTCACTATGAGTCAGATCCGACTCGAGGGCAATGGGTTTTTATGTAGACTATAATGGAGTTTAAAACACACACACCAAAGGAAAAACTCCAGAGTGCCACCAAAAGTACCGAGCTTGAGGAAGAATAGAATTGAAGGAAATATGAAGGATTGGATGATTTAGGGTGAAGAAAAGGTGCCTGGAACTTAGAAAGTCTAGAAACTGTGGTCATGGATACATGATGCTTGAAAAACTAGTGGTATGTGTGGTTATAATGCATCATGGACAATATGGTGGAGATATATTGAAAGATTAAATTAACTACTCTCATAGTTCATTGACAATTTTGGTAATTACCAGGATAAGTGTGTTGCTGCTGAAGATTTTCTGCCTTCAGCTTTTTTCAAAGAATTGAGTCTCAGGTTCCTCGCCCATGTATATTGATTATAAATGATTCGAGAGCACCTTAGTAAGTTTTCTTTTTCTTTGAATTTATGTGTGTTACGTATTTCTGGTGTTCTTAAGAAAAACTAACTGCTGTCGAGTCAATTCCAACTCATGGTGGCCCCATGAGTGTCCAAGTATAACTGTGCTGGATGCAGTTTTTGATGGCTGATTTTTTTGGAAGTAGATTAGTAGGCCTTTCTTCCAAGGTGCTTCTGGGTGAACTTGGACCTCTAACTTTCATGTAGCTGAGCACATTAACCATTTGTACCAATCAGGAACTCAAATGTTCCTTAAGAGACATGGTGATTTTACATCCCAGATTGTGAGTTTCCACTTTCTGGGAAAGAAATGTTGGAAATCATAGGAGACTCTATGAACTATTACCGTTAATAGTACTGAAACTCGCATAATCATAACCAACCCTAACATCTTCGGGAAGGCATTCAGTCTCATAGTATCTATGACACAAAGGAGTTGAGTTTACTTGTGATCAACTGTAAATTTTGTTTCAGACATACTAAAAAAGAAAGTGCAGTTGCTTAAAAAAAAGTCTCAGAAAAATGTCACTGCACTACTTATTCACTGTTTCTGCTGGTTCCAACATTTTATGTATTTCATGGTGGCAAATAACTACAGAAATACTTTTTCAAATATAATTATTATTTCTTGAGATTTTTCTGTATTCTGAAGAGTTGAAAGCTTGGTAAGCATTACATTCTATGAATTTGTTGTTGTTGTTGTTATGTGCCATTGAGTTGGACCTGACTCACAGCCAAGGCGGTATCACTATGGAAGTAGATTACCCAACCTTCCTTCTGAGGAGTGGCTGTTGGGTTTCAACTGCCAGCCTTCTGGTTAGCAGTCAAGTGCCTTAGGCACTATGCTACCAGACCTCCCTTCTATGAATTAGGTATTGCCATTTCGTTGTGTTGATTCTCAGCTGCAAACTGTGCCAAAGATTCTCAATCACCAATTTCCAAATCAGTGATTTTCTTACATACAATTTTAAATCAAAGGTTATTATAATTATTTGACAAAGGATTCAGAAATTTAATTTTCAACTTTTCTAAAAATTTTTTTAAAAAAACCTGCTACACATTCAGGAGCTTCAGTATATAAAAACTTTTTTTTTTTGGGGGGGGGGAATTAGATGGCCCTGAAGCACTTTCAAGAAGCCGTGGTGGCACAGTGGTTAAAGCTCTGCACAGCTAACTGAAAGGTCAGTGGTTCAAATCCACTAGCCACTTCATGGGAGTAAGCTGTAGCACTCTACTCCATAAAGATCTAGAGTTCTTTGTAACGATTTACAGCCTTGGAAACCCTACTGGTCTATTCTGCCCTATAGGGCCTCTATGAGTCAGAATTAATTGAAAGGCAACAGATTTGGAGAACTTTCCTTATTACGTCCCTTTCTATATCTTCATTTGAACAAAATCCATTTGGGTGTGTAAACTGCTACCTAAGAGCTGAGACCATTTAGATAATAGAAGTTTCCACTTAGTGTGTCATTCTTTTCCTGCATGAAATGGATCTCAAGTGGCCTGGGAGGACTGGACCTTCAAAAGTGCTTACCTTTCACTCTCTACCTTCTCAAATAATTAATTTCATGAATGTGAAAGATGAGGCAATCATTTCATTGCAGGTGGTGATTATTAATAAGCAAAAACTTTTCCTTTCACTTTTCTAGACCTTGAGCTTAGAAGTAAAATACCTTGCTAAGCCTTATTGGATGGATAGATAGATAGATAGATAGATAGATAGATAGACAGATAGATCAATAGACAGATAGTTGTTTTGTGCAGTCCAGTCAATTCGGACTCATAGTGACCCTTTCAGACATAGTAAAGCTGCCCAATAGGGTTACCAAGGCTGTAGTTTTTATGGAAGCAAATTGCCACATCATTCTTTTCAGAGCAGCTGGTGGGTTCAAACTGTCAATCTTTTGGTTAATAGCTCAACACTTAGCCTGTGGCACCAAGGTTCCTTAGATAGATAGATAGACAGACAGATAGACAGATGTTGTCAGTTGTCCTTGAATTATCTTCAACACATGGTGATTTTATGTATAAAAGAACCAAATGTTGCCTGGTCCTGTGCCATCTTCATGATCCTGGTACGTTTCAATCCATTATTATGGCTATTCAAGTATCATATTGCTCCAATCAAAAACCAAACCAGTTGCTATTAAGTGGATTCTGACTCATGGTGACTCTGTGTGCTTCAGAGTCAAACTGCCACACAGTGATTTCAATGGCCATGACTTTCCGAAGCAGATTACCAGGCCTTTCTTCTGAGGTGCCTCTGAGTGGACTCAAACTGCCAACCTTTCAGTTGGTAGCTGAGTGCTAAACTGTTTGCCTCACCCAGGGACTCTTAATCTTGGGTTATGAAAGAAATATCTAAAACTTCTCTTAACTGCTTAACCCCACGTATATGTTGGCCCCAAAGATCTCCATACCTCTCTGAGCACGGTGTCATATAGAGTGCAATGAAAGGATACTACCTTCTTGGGAAGGTATGTAGGAAGCCTTTCATACATGTGGACACAAAGCATGAGCATTAGAATGGGATTTGGGTCGTAGATGTCGATGGCCTAGTTTTCAAAGAAGAGAAATAAAAATTAGAGGGTATACTGATAAATAAAATTAATAAAACAGCTAAAACATACTAAATCAATTATTGAAATATTTTAAAGCATTTAAATATGTTACTGACTGACAATAACACTCAATTGTAGGTGCAGCAAATAGCATACTGAGGTGAATCAGAAGATATTGACCTAGGAGTTAACAAGTTAATTACATGTGTTTTAGGTAAAACACTGATCTCATAGCTACAAAGAACCCATAAAAGCAAGTCAGAGCTCAGAGAAGAAGCTATTCACATCATCCCTGCCTTAAAGTAGCATATAAAGTAATAAAAAATCATAGGAGGTGTACTTGAGATGTGCCATGAAGAATGCTAGGATTTTAAATAGCTTACGTTTTGGGTGAGGAAAAGGATGCATTCTATCATAAAGGCAAAACACTATAAGGCAAGGAATGAATATGAATAGTGTTTGTTAAAGAAATAAGTGAAATTTGTATTTTTTCCTATGATTGGACATGTTGTTGTTGTTGTTGTTATGTGCCATCGACTCAAACCTGACTCATAGCGACCCCTCCTTGGGTTTCCGAGGCAGTATCACTAC